GCCCTGCGACCTATAAGAAGACCTGTCACGCATCATGGTTATGGGGCGCGACCACCACTGGGCGAGTCGCAGAAACGTTTCGGAGGGATGGCCCCTGGTCTTTGTCGAGAGACCCCCACCTTGGATAATATTTCAATGGCAAACCGTAGGCCTGCCTTCCCACCCACACACATGCGCTTGAAGGAAAGTCTCAGAGCTACCTCAACAACACTACACAGGCATGTGGCTGATGCCAGGGCAAAATCCCTTCCCTCCCAGAGAAACAAAGGCAAAGATCACCCACACGGAGTGAACAGACTGTTGGGGCAAGTGCTGTTTGTGAGCACCCATGAAGGCCGGCACGGCACACGAAGAGGGTTGGGTGGCCAGCCCCACGCCCGACCGCCTTTGGCTCCCCAGTGGCGATGTTTACACACCGCACAAGGTACTCCGTTGAGGCTGAGTAGACCTAGCGGAGGCCCAGTTCAGACAATCGTCACTGGTTGGTGTTGGCCGTGAGCAGGAATCGAACTGGGGTCGCCAGGTTCGTAGCGTTTGAGCAGGCACGAGCATCATCCACAGTAGCCAGTCGTTAATTAATACGTCCACCAGATGACAATCTCCGATGGATGAGGCGAGGAGCTGGGGGGGGAGGGGGATACCCTTAGAACGTGCGACAGCGGTTGTCCTATCGATAGGACAACCGCTGTCGCACGTATTACTTTTATCGACCACGGATTTGATGATGGTCCGATACCTCGTTCCGCATATGGACAGAAAATAATAACAACAGTAACAATTCGCATCCGTATCGGTCATATCTGGTGCCCTATTAAGCACCAGCAGCGCGAGAGAAGCGACCACTTACGTACTCTTTAGAACTCCTTTCGCACCGTACGTATCGCCAACCGTGATATTCGGAGGTGCCTACAACGTTGGCAGCTGCCAAGTCCGCTACCCCCCCCCCCCCCCCCCCCCCCACGATTTGCAAAGCATTCGCAGACAATTCCTCTGCGAGCAAAAAGCGAGCGCAGCTGATGCGCGGAGACCCCCCCCCCCCCCCCCGGATCCATTCCCTGACTTTCTGTTTATTGAGCGCGAAGCCACCCACCTGTTGTTACCGCCACTGCTACCACTGCTACCACTGCTTTCACATGATCGAGTGTTGGTTGCACTTTGCTTCGCTTGCTCCGCACACCGGTCGAGATACGCAATTGGCACCGACGCAGCGACACGCGCACTGACACATTGACACGCACGCAGATAGATACAATAACACACACACTGAGACACAGTGATGCAGTGACACGCACACTGACACATTGACACGCACGCAGATAGATACAATAACACGCACACTGAGACACAGTGATGCAGTGACACGCACACTGACACACCGACACGCACGCTGAAAGATACAATGACAGGCACATTGAGACAGTGACATGGACACGACTGATAATAGTGACACGAACACTGACACGGTGACGTGCACACTGTCACACAATGATGTACACAATTACATTAAGTACCGCACTAAATAAAGAACACAGCGACACGCTGGCAGACACACTGCAACATAATAACACGCACATTGACACACACAATGACACACATCCATGCACGTGAGTTTATCGTGAGCAGACTACTTCATACACGTTTGCCGCATCTGGGACAAACACAACACCAAACAATTGTTTATAGGCTCCCTCAATGAAACACAGACTCAAGACGCATTTGCCCTGGCCAATACGCGGCACTGCTTTGGGCGAAAATGTCGAAAATTCTGGCACATTTTCGAAAAATATTCGCATTGGTTGACCCAAATTACGAGAATTAGACTGTCCCTGAGCCAATGCAGTAAAAAAAACAGGAAGAAGCCACGGTAACAACCAGCCACCAACAACCCAACAACACACTCGAAAATTCCTAAAAGTCCTAACAGGATCGGGAGTGGGATCCTCCCAGATCATGCAATAGCCGTGTCCCCTTTAATTTCGCGAGGCTGATTATTGGTGGGTGGACGCATTGAGCGCGCACGGGGCAGACACACTTCCTCGCATCCCACTCATGATGCCCTCCCCGCTCTTGCCTGTCCTCAAAGCGCTCAGTGTAGCATAAAGAATGGGCAGAAAGATGGGCGGGTATGTGGGAAGCTACTGCAATACACACAGACAACGATCCCTCCCCGTATAGCCTCAAGAGACTGTTGGGGTAAGTGCAGTTAGCGAGCACCTATTAAGGCCGGCACGGCACACGCGGGGGTGGGTGACCAGCACCACGCCCGGCCGCCTTTGTCTCCCTCGTAGCGATGTTAGCACACCGCACCAGGTACTCTTTTGAGGCTGAGTCGACCTGGGGGAGGCCCAGAACCAGCTCAAATATTCGCCACTGTTAATGATCGTGAGCAGGAGTCGAACTCGGTTCGCCGGATTCATAGCGCAACGCACTAACCGTTGCGCCACCGCCCCTCTGCAATACACACAGAAACAAGCCCTGACCGCCTTTGTCTCCCCAGTCAATGACTACCATGATTTACATACACCGCACCAGGTTCTGTGCTCGTTTAAGGCCGAGTCAACCGGGGGTAAAACAAAAACAAAACCGTAGTACCGGTTCAGATATCACCCGCGCCCACTACTGATGGGTCAGTTGGAAATCGAACTTAGGCAGTCGGCTATTGTTCGTAAGCGCAGCGGGCCGACCACTGCGCCACCGCCCCGCAGCGTAGACACACACAGACACACACAGGCACACACAGCTGCAGTGGATATCGTGGTAGATTCGGCATCAGTGCCCTGGCAACAAGGAGTGGTGATACCGTGGAAACTCTTGTTGCGCAGAGGCGCAACGCACCGGTGCCGATTTCCAAAAGGTAGAAGGGAATGAATGGATGAGCGACCCCCTTCCTTTCTCAGGTGGGTTATTACATCACGGAATCGCGAAAGACGGGAATGGCTCGGCGAGGCTTTTCATCCAGCTGGGGATCGTGCACGGCTGCCGATGATCACGATGATCGCGATGATGATGATACGGTGCACTGTCTTGTGAGGCCGTGGAGCACGCAAACACCCCGTGACGCACGCTCGAGAGAGACGTCCGCTGCGGTACACTTCGCTTCTCTCGGTGAGCAAACACAAATATCCCCACCAGCCACCCGTATAGCCTTCAACAGACTTTTGGGGCAGGCGCTGTTCACGAGTCACACCTTTGAAGGCCGGAATGGCACACGCGGGTGCTGGGTGGCCAGCACCACGCCCGGCCGCCTTTGTCTCCCCGGTGACAATGTTTGCACACCGCGCCAGGTGCGCATTTGAGGCTGAGTCGACCTAGGGGAGGCCCCGGGACCGGTTCACACAACCGTCACCGGTGTTCACCGCGGGCGGGAATCGAACTCGGCACGCCGGCTTCGTAGCGCAGCGTCGCGCTAACAACGTGAAGACAGAACGCACACCACGGCACGCAGACTCGTGGTGTATCACGCTCGGCAAAGCATCATCACGAGCGTCGCCGCACAGCCGCGTGTCGCGATCGGCCTCGCTCTGCAGAAGGCGTACGGAGAGACTGCACAGGACAACACTGTCCTGCCAAGAGGTTGATTCTCGTTTTTTCGGTCGCAAAAGGAACCGCGGCTAAAAAAAGAATGGGGGCTCTATAGGCTGGCAACACTCGCCACCGCTGCCATAATTAGGCTCTCAAATGCAATAGCCCAAAGCGGTTCCATCGGGGTAGTGTTACTGTGCGGACAGGTGCGCGCCTGTGAGTCGAGTGTGCTCGCAAAGAGGATGGATGGGAGTCGTGGGTTTATTATTTATTCTGATGGAGAGGGGGGTGCTGGTGGTGGTGGCGGTGGGGTGGTGGAAGGAGGTGGACAAAACCTGTTCGCTCGTTCGTGCGACTCATCCGCGAGTCCCGATCCTTATTTCGACTGGGGGGGGGGGGGGAACGTATGAGCTGCGAAGCTCTTTTTTATCTCGCAGATGTTCCAGTATGGGGTGGTGGAGTGGGGAGATGGGGAGGAGGCCAACAAGTTACAACAGAGTCGAAGCAATGCATTACACCGTCCTTCCTATCGCGGTGGCGGAGGGGGGGGTCATGATATAGTGCCCAAAGACTCACAGATCTCGTAACTCTTAGAAACAAAAAAATACCCCTGAAGCGTGGCGTGCATCATACAGCTTGGGCATGGTGTAAGCCAGCGGGAACCACCCCCGGACGCCTTTGTCTCCCCACTGCCGATGACGATTTTTACACACCGCGCCACGCACTCATGTATGGCCGAGTAGACCCAGGCGAGGTCCTGGACCGACTCTGATTGGCCGTGACTGAGAATTGTCGTCAGGTGTCAGGGGTTCGCAGCTCAGTGTGCTCACCACTGCGCCACCACTCCTCCCAAGCCCCACACACACGAACACACGGGCTGTGGATTGTAAAACAGTGAGTGCGTTGCTGCCCTAACGCGAGTGCAACGCACACGATATGTCGGTGATATTCTAATTTAAGGCTGAGTCGACCTAAGGGTGGTCCGAACCGATTCAGAGATACGCCACTGTTGTTAACATACCAGCCTCATCCGTGTAGCCGACACAGACTGCCGGGGTAAATGTTTGTTCTTGATCACCGATGAAGGTTGGAACAATGCCCGAGCGCCTTTGTCTCCCCGGTGATGATGTTTACACGTCAGACCAGGTACAGTGCTTACGTATGGCTCAGTTAACACACACGGACATCTTATCCCCGTGCAGCTTACATAGGCTGTTTGGGGCCAGTGCTGTTAGCGAGTACCTATTAAGGCCATTAACTACGCTGGACCACCGTGTACTCGTTTAAGGCTGAGTCAATCTCGGGGGGAAGTCTACACAGACTGTCGGGGTAAATAAATACTGTTCGCGTGCACCTATGAAGGCCGAAACTATGACCAACCTCCTTCGAAGATGTATATACATCACACAAATAACTCACTTGTGGCTCAGTCTAAACGCGTGCCTAACACACGCACACAATCACACGCACGAACTCACCGGCCACGCAAACTTGAAGGGGATGGAGATTCGCCCTGCGCTCTCGCCCCTGACGTTGCTGCGCAGGGTGAAGTTATTCCCTCCGATAACGGGGGTCGAGCCATTGCCCAGCACGCAGGGGCTGCTCTTGCTGAGCAGGCTGGACGCCTGCTGGTACTGGCGCAGGCACAGCGCCACGAACGTGCGGCACTGCTGCGGGCAAGCCGCGCCGGCTCGGGGCCTCTCGCCGTCGCAACATTCCCCGCTTTGGAGTTCCCCGTGCGCGTTGACGAGCGACACGAGTTGGAACTCGACGTATCCCGTGCACAGCGCCACCTGAAGCGGGCACAATGAGAGGATGGAGAGAGAGAGGGGAGAGACAAAGGCGGACGCGTGAACGAATGGATTGTCTTGTAAAGACATCCCCCAGGTTGTTCACACACGCTGTTGATATCGAATCGAGAATGCCACAGCACTGTTATATATATAAATACATCATTTATAACTAGCAGCGTAGGTAACGCTGACCACGTCATGTTTATACGACCAGGTGCTTACTTGAAATCGGAACAATCGGGAATGCCGGAATCGTGGTCATTTATCTCGCCTGTCGTCATTTAACAGGTTACCAGGATTCTATGACGAAAGGGTGCAATAACGCACGATCGCTATTGTACTCTAGTGGTAGTGCCTTACGCCAATCGATCTCCCCTACTCCATGCCAACCCTCTTAAGAGCATTCCGGTGGAGGGGAGATGGTGGGGTGGGTAAATATCGCGCGTTTAAATGAAGCTCCGATTATACTTTTGCCATCAGCGATCGTGGGGAGCGTGCACGCTTGACTCATCCATCTCATTTGACGGTGTGATGCGCAATAAGCCCGTCCGGGCATTTTTCGTCGTGTGCCTCTCGTTCCGCGAACTGACACAGCCGTGTGATGTGCAAGCGAGCTCGGTGATTACTCATTTGCTACCCCCCCCCCCCCTCCACTAGAATTGACACAGAGAAGGAAAACATGTATCTTCAAAGCCTCTCCAACATCTTCCCACCAACATCAATTTAACACGCGTGTTATGCATATCGGTAGACGCCGTAAGATATTGGGAAACCTTTATGCGCTCAATAATAACTGCAGTGCAATTAACTGTTGAGAAGTCAAGGAGCGCCAATTATAAATCAGCGAGGTAGCTATGAATGCTTCAGCCCTGTGTAGCGTTAAACGCAAACCCACCGTCAAGCGAGCAACAAGAGCAGACAAGCAGTGATACACAAAAACATTCAACAATATCTGGCAATCAACACCCATTGCCTTACCTTTGCTAAAGACATAACGAGGAAGGCGGTGAGGATCACAGTGGAAGAGCGGCGGTGGCGGTGTTGTCCGTAATCCATTGTCGCGGCACGCTGCGGGGATGTTGGTATCGCTTCTCGATTTCTTCCGTTCTTGTTGGTACGCAGGGGTTTGTCTCCTTTTAATATAATCTATCTTTATTTTTTTAATGTTCTCGTCCAAAACACACACACGCAGAGAAGCGGACGGAAATTAACGCAGTCGGGGATGGAGGCGGCTCCCTCGCAGCTGCTAGACGTCGTCAGCGCAGCCTGGCTGGACCGAGTGAATAGAAGAAGGGAACCACCATCATCATCATCGGGCGGTATTCCGAAGCGACCTCATTGAATGGTGGCGACTCGCGCAGTGTGAGCGAGCTGTCAGGGCTCGCTGTCACCACACGCGCACACCTCCCCTGCCGCCCGCCAATCTCCCTCCCACCACCACCGACCCCCCTCGCTCTCTCTCCTCTCTACCTCCCTCTTCTCCCCTCCCCCTCGCTTCACGATCCTCCAACCCACTCATCGCCTCCCTCCCTTCCTCCTCCCCTCCTTGCCATCACAAACACACACACACACACTTCCTGCTGCACGACCTCTACGTTGTAATGTAATTGTAACGTTGCTGTGTAAAGTGCCCACCACGTTCGTTTCAATCGGCGCCACGCCACTCACTAACCAGCGCGGTGAAGTATGGTCAAATAACATCACCATTCCCCCACAGCTGGCGCGTTGTGGGAAGGGCTTCCTTCGTCCAGCAGTGGAGTGACAAAGGGCTGTGATTTATTACTGTAATTGTTGTACGCGTGCGTATTTAAGACATAAAAAGACCCCCCCCCCCCCTGTGTAGCCTGAACAGACTGTTGGGGCACAAGCGCCGTTAGCGAGCACCTATCAAAGGCCGGCTGGGTGACACACGAGAGGGGGTGGGGTGGCCAGAACACCGCCCGGCCGCCTTTGTCTCCTCAAATGGCGATGTTTACACCCACCACCACCACCAAGTGGCCTGCTCATTCAAGGCTCTGTAGAATCGCACAGGACCCACCGGTGCGCTAACCACTGTGCCACCGCTCCTCACACGCAGTTTGTGGATTGTATGGGTTTGGGTGTTTTATTTATTTATTTTAAATCACTGAAGTGACGGTGACCCGCAATGATGTAGTTGGTGCCAGATGTCAGAATACTTAATCGCTTGGCCAATTGTCGTTATTTTGACGGGTGCTCGGTACAGTATTGCATGACATTAACTAAGTATTGCAACATCCCACTTTACAACATTTGTCCACGTGGAGTTTAAATGCTGTATCGATGCAAGTCACCTGCTTTTTTTTTCCAAGAGCGCGCTGCTATTTTGTATACAGATAGAATATCGCCGTTCGTGGTCGATTTCTGGGGTTTAAAGGTGGAATCACATTTTTTGCCGAATCAGGTTGCCTTTCGCACGAATAATAGAGGCATCATTTTTTTTGCAATCAACGAATATCCACGTCTAATACGGAGAGAGTGCCAGGGTGCAGTGATGAGCGCGACGGCGTCGTGAACCCGTTGAACCGAGTTCAATTCCCGGCCACGGATGAATACAACCAGTGTCGAGTTGCTATCTGCAACCGAGTCTTGATCCCTCCCTTTCGCTAAATCCGCACTGACAATCGCGAAAAAAGTATGGTCAAACAGGCCTCGTGACTGACGCGGCGGCGTGAGTGGGCTCTCATCCAGCAGTGAATTAACAAAACGGTGGTGTGGGAATAAATGACGTACCCCAACGTACCAAACAAGCGGCAGGCGGGCGGGTGGTGTAACTAGAGCAGGGATTGTGTCCAGCGTGGACAAAGAAGAGGGGGTAATGTTTGTCCCTGGCTGGTGATTGCAGGGAACGCGGCTCAGGGTTGTGGTGCACGTCTTCCCCCTACTGGTGATATGAGCCGCAGTGCATCGTCACACAAACTCAACTATGAACTTTAACAAAAATATATTTTACCAGGTAAGGCCCACTGAGCTATGTACCTCTTTTTTCAAGAAGCGATCTGGTCACAAATGATAGGTCAACTAAGCGGCTTATCGTGTGGACATTTAGAGCAGTCAAATACTCTAAACGCGTGATGTTGATTCTAAATTCGGAGGGAAACACCGGAGGGCTCGGAGAATAATTTACACGACCACGGACAGAACACGCAAACTCCAAATATACAGCAGGCGTCAGGGTCGGGATTGAACCCACGACCTCCTTCATACCAGGCGAGGTAGTTAACATCTCGCCACCATAGGGAGACAAAGGCGGCCGGGCGTGATGCTGGCCATCCACCCCATCGTGTGTCGTGTCGGCCTTCATGGGTGTTCGCTAACAACACTTACTCCAACAGTGAAAATGTGAATTTCGAAAGAAAAGATTACCTCCATTAAGTGTTTACTCTTTCAGCTCCACGGGGATACATTCATCAAATCGTGCACCGGGGCCTGTATGAGATACTTTTTGGTTGCAATTTGTGTATGCGAAACAGGTATGGGGACCGACACTTAGATGGTGTTTTGCATGTGTTGAGAAGAGCCGGAGAATATGCAAATGACAAGACTCAGTACATCCCTTCGCCTATCATCTTCGACTCTTATTATCTGCGTGAGCTGTTGGGTAGGAAAAAAGCTCCCGTTATCAGCAGTCCTATTCTTCCAATTATTCACGATTTATTTTCTCCCATAGTCATTGCGGTGCCGCTTTAAAAATAATGGTTAAGAGGAGTTGGGTGCTAAAATGCATTTCATCATTTCAATGGGTACATGTGACTGCCCCCCTCTCACCCCCCCCCCACCTGCTCCCCTTGCAGCCACTAGTGGCAACTGCATTCACCACAATATTCACTAGAAAAAATATCGGTTCTTGAATTGGATTGCGACAACTTGTCTAATCACAATCATAACAAGGCAGTTATCAACACAGTAAAGTACGTGGAATGCCAGTGCTTTTGACATGTTATGATTGATATACACGTATTCATTCATTCGGTAGTGGTTAGCGCAATGCAATGAGAACCCAGTGTCCTGAGCTTGCTTCCTGGTCATGGCTAACGTGAGTGGAAAGTGATATTTGAGCCGATGCTGGTCTGCCTCATTCACCGACCCCCACCAACGAATGTGGTTAAACAATCCCCGTACACTGGCACGGCATGGGGGAGACCATCCAGCAGTGGACTTACAAAAAGCTATACGTATTATCACTTCTAATCGAACGTCAAACTTATGTAAGTGCACACTGATTACATTACATCAACACGCACTGGTGTATTTTGTGCACAGCATTGATGAGTGTTTTACACAGCAACCAAACGAAAATAAAACAAGAATGCATGCTTTACAAAAACACAACAGAAGATTCTTAAAAGATTTAACAAATACGTTCGGCAACAATAATTCTGTTGGGGAACAAGTCTGTGTACACGAAAAACCCGTTTGTGAAATGCGTGTTGATGTCAAGCACAGCTTTCAGGACACGTAATACTTTTATCTTTTATCGTCATCATCATCACACACGTTATGCTTTCACGTGAAGCGTCGACATGTGTGTGTCAGACGAGATAAAGGCTTTGAATACGGGAATGCAAATTTCTCAAAGAGTTTAGGCGTGTCGAGGTGCAGGTTGTGTGCAAAAAGTCGCAGTCGACCATGGGTCCCTTTGAGCAAACTCCCCATGCATTGATCTACTTAGAGAGACACCCCCGAATTCCAAACAAGTGAAAGGAGACGCTGCCACAATGCCCCAGTAAATAATTCACGACGAGTCTCCTGACCTGCACCGTAGCCTCTTACATCACCCCTCTCGCCCTCTCACCCAAGTCTACCCCCTCCTCATCCTTCTGCTCCTCCTCCCCCTTTGGTTCTGTCTCTTTGGACCAGTGCCGCAAATCCTCACGCTTTTACCGGCACGTGCGGCGAGAGACCTTTGCACCCTTCCGACAGGAGGGAGTGCACAGATGTGTCACCGCAAGTCAAAATTGGCGACAAGTGTCTTCCCTGTCCAGACGAGCGACGGGCAGTGGCGTCGCCTCGAATGTGCAGGCAGCACCGCTGTGCTGTGCATAGGGACCCTGGCACTGGGCTACGAAGAGTGGGAGAAATGTGAGATTTCATTCCTTGCACCAGGAGCCCATACTAAGCACGCTACCCCACAAGTGATGGGTAAAGCTCACCTGCTTTAGTGGCTCTGAGCTGGGGTGGAAATTTCACATTCTTTTGTCAGTAGCCAGTTTATCCACTTTCTTCATAGGACGACCATTGATTGACTCCCTACCCGCGATTCAATTAATTTTCACAATTAAGGATCACGATTCAATTCAAGTGTATATTAGTTTTGTATGCCTAAATGCATAGCCTCTAGTGGCTACTGGAGTCACGTGACTAATATGTTTAAATTCCATTCCATTAAAGCATGCATCGTTTGATGAAAGTATCGTGAGCGTCAGGATCAATTTTAATTGATGAATCGACACGTCATTACAAGCCGACTTCCTAAAAACTGGTGCTCATTTTATTGACCTGGTGGAGATGATGAGTTGAACCCCACAAGGATTACAACTCTAAATCTTAAAACTCAGGGGTGGGTGTTCTTCCACACGGCACCTCCCAGCCAGTAACTTCACCAAACCCCGAAAAGTGAAATATACTTCAGCTTTGGACAATGTGCGCGAGTCTTTGTGCAATGGTAGGCGTCTCATAAGTGTCTCCGTGAGCACTAAACATTAATTTGATTGAGTTAGTATTGCATTATAACTTTTGCTTTCTTTTGAAACGTGGTTATTGTCCGCAACATGAACGTGTGCTGCTGCAGACAACAGCTGATATTTACAGCAAAGAAAGTGGGCAGTGTTTGCACAAAGCATCATGTGATGGTGCATCATGTGCGGAGGTGTGCTTTTTTCAATGAAATAAAATCGACTAACCCAAGTTGGAGAAATTTCCAGCATTTTGTTTATTATCAATCATCATTCCATTTTTACAGGTAACAAGTGATTGACTCTGCACACTCATTATTTGGGCACAGCATCAATTAAATTTACATCACACTTTACATGGGTCGTTATCCAATCAGGTCACTGAAATGAGTACTACTTTATACAACGTTGACGGTGATTGTCCCCTATTGAGATTTGGCCTGTCATAGGAATGGGGAATGTACACATCTCCAAAGATTAACGCCAACAGTGAGGAGCACAGCATCATCATACTCATCAGTAGAGAAACGGTTTGACTTGGCTATTTTATGAATAACCATATATTTTTTAAGTTAACAGCTGCTTGATTTAACAGACTCGGAATTTGGGCAGATCAGTATCAACTAAAGCTCTTTGAATTATAACTGGGGACAGATGGCCAACCTAAAGTCAGCTGACTCATGTCTACTTTGCCTAGCATCGGCTCAGCTTTCATATGTGATAGGGAATAGTACAACAACAAAAAG